AGCTGTTTTCATTCTAGCTTTGTAAAGGACTCGCTCATGCAGAAAACAGCTTTGACAGAATTTTCTTTTCCTTTCATCTGCGTCATCAGAAAGCCTCGTGTAGATTTATTCATGACACGGCTCCATTAGTGCTCTATCGGAGCGTGTGGGTAAATACTTTTAAAACGTTTTTATGAATAAAAAGCTGGCATGAAGAGGGCTGCACGGTGATGCAGTGGTTAGTGCTGTTGCTTCAGAGCAAAGGGGGTTCCTGGTTCGAATCCCCATCGGACAGGGCCATGCATGGGTTCTCTCCAGGTACTCCCTTTCCCTCCACAGTCCAAAGACATGCTGGTTAGGTTAACGGGTGACTCTAAAATTGCCCGTAGGTGTGAATGTGAGCGTGGCTGGTTTTATGTCTCCATATGTCAGCCCTGTGATTGACTGCTGACCAGTCCAGGGTGTACCCTGCCTCTACCCAATGACAGCTGGGATTGGCTCTCCCCCCCACCCCCCCCCCCGCAGCCACAACAGGAGAAGTCGTTTAGATAATGGATGGATGGCATAAAGAGCATTACTGACAGAGTCATGGAAGTTTATGGAGCTCTCATCTAACAATAGACACCATCACGTGACGTACCAGAGAACTCGCTGTCACTGGCACTGATATACGGGTACTGTGGGCTGTGATTGGCATGTTTTGCTTTCAGGTAGCTGCCTTTCAGTTGATCCTCTGTTGTAATCATGGCAGCTTTTGTGTTTGACTGACATCTGTATGTCCTCTCCCTTTCTAGAGTAAACAAAGGCTTTTTGCAGTCATATTTTTTAGGGGTGGGGGCGCTTTTTATGCCTTTATTTAGAGATAGGACAGCGGATAGAGTCAGAAATCAGGGAGAGAGAGAGAGAGAGTCGGGGGAATGACGAGGGAAAGGAGCCACAGGTCTGATTGAGCCTGGGCCGTTCGCTTGGAATACCGTAGCCGCTGTACATGGGGCACCCACACCAACTGATAGGCCAAAGGCGCCACCCATTTATATGAATTTTTAAGGGATAAATTATCAGGGGTTTAATTATGTAGTCTATAATCTTCATGAAGAGTCCTTAGGGGCTTTTCGTGAAGTGTTTTGTTTGGCCGACTGTCCCGATATTTGGTTTAAAATGATTTATTAATAGAGAGCAGCGATTCCTACATCTGAGTAGCCAGAACCCAAACAAGTTTGGCAGTATGGTCTAGAAAATAATTGGTTTATCATTTATCAAATTAGCTGATGGATAATAATCAGGCTTTTCACTGAACAATAAGTGGATGTATTGTTAATGAGGAACAAGACGCATTATTTGTACTGTACGGTTATTTCTGCTCTATGTGATTTCACTGCATTTAAAATATAGACAGTTTGTATCCACAATCAAACAACTCTAGTTTGTTAATATATGCTCACCAACTTATTAAAAATGTTGAATAAACTGTTCACAACCATTGTTTCATAATTGTTTCAGATCAAGTGTTTGAACATTTAAACTTGCACATATACGATTTTGTTACTTTCCTTACAGTAGCACTCTGATATCTGCCACATTGTTCCAGTTTTCATCAGAGCCATGGTTATGTGCCCAAATTACTCACATCACATCTAATTATTTTCTCTCTATACCTTTTGTGTTGGGAAACTTTAATAGTTTAAATTGGGAAACTATTGAACAATTCTTTTGAAAGGGATTCATAACTACTACCTTATAAACTGCCTGCTATCAGTTTGTCATCACTGTGTTGGTCATGCAGCAAAAAGATTCAGTCCACTAAAAAAAAACAAAAAAAAAAAAAAAAAACATCATGATGAATAATACACAAGCATGCTGGATTTCATTTATCACACAAAAGCCAAAACTTACGTTTTGATCTATCATGCTGATACCCATTTTAAAACTCACATATAATGTTACAATGCTGGATGCCCATACTTATTGTGGGTAAAGTTTCAGATCGTGAGGTAAACGTATGTTGGAGCATTCCCAGGATATGTCTGAACAGCTTGTCTTTTGAATCATGATATCAATTATGAAGAAATTGACGAGACAGCTTTAAGCCTCTACATGAAGCCAGTGAAGCCGTTTTCATGAAGCTGTATACCCTCTGCTAGCGGAGAGCAGCCCTGTCCTTGCAGCCCTGCAGTGTTCTGCTCCCTGAAGGCGTCAAGACAGCTGGCCAATCAGAAGAAAGTGGGCACATGGAGAGGGGGGCCTTTGAAGAGACAGCAGCTGAAATAAACAGTTTTTACTGACCCCAGTATGAGATAAATAAGGAGTTTTTTTTGAGCTGCATATCATGCCAAGCTGCTCTATAGGCTTCACAAACTGACGACATGAAAGGTGAAAATGGGTACAATGTGGGATAACATTTCAGATGAAAGGTTTCCTGTAGTGGAGGTCAATCATGAAGACATTTGTCTCACGATTTTCAAACATCTGTAATGTGACTTGTGAAACTTTTTTTCTTTGGAAACAAGCGTTTTATGAATGATTCAGATTGCAACATGGTACTAAAAGTTATTTTTTGAAACTTTTTTTCTTTCCATCCTGCCCCTCATACCAGTCGAGTTTTTGTCAGGTTGAAATTGTCAGCTCATATATCCTTCCCATAGGTTCAGTCAATAGTGTGAATGGTGAGTTAGTCGATGATGTGACAGATACAAACAGTTAGATTTATTGTCCATCTCTGATATAGTGACATCAGTAAAAGTAAAGGCATGAAAGTAAAAAAAAAATAAAAGTTCATGCTCTTTTGAGAGAACTCTAATGTCCGGGTTGTGGGTTCATCAATTATGCCATATTGCCAGATTTCCGACCGTTCATCCATCTCAGCCCGCTGTGTGTAGTTGTCGAGGCCTCTGGCCCAGATCTGTCATTCCTATTCACATTCTTTATTCCCTTCTGCCTCATTGACATTGGCAGTAGAATGGGCTAGTCCCAGCTGGCCCATTCTGAAATTGCTTACTGTAGAAACACATCCCTTCAGTAAAACAGACTGCTACCCCCATGCCAGCTGTTCAGGCCTCCATTTCACCTAATATAACCCAGCTGAGCTTAAGGGATGCTGTAATGATGCAATGCAAAACTATAATGAAAAAGTATTCCAAGTTGAAGAGCCGAACTGTACAGTTGAGACTAATACTGAAGAGCTTACCTCCATTACAGGAGTGAATCTTTTCACTAATGTCTCTTCTACTTTTGCTGCTTTTGTAGGAGTTTGTCTTTTTTTTTGTTTTACCAAAGTCAGCTCTGTCAAAAACAGTTTGGACAAGTCAAAACAAAGCCAATAAATACTGATTCCGAAAATATTTTAATTCTCTGTACTCCGGCCATAAGTTCCATATTTGGATAAGTGTATAATAATAATGGGTGAGTTAATTAAGACAGTTAAATGCTTAAATTTAAGATAAGAGGTTGCCATGTATTTACAAGTGGTTTGCTGGAATTATTGACTTGAATTTGTTTTATTTTTTATTTTTAAAAGAGAACTGCATACTGTCAACAGATATACTACATTAACAAAAATCTTGTTTTGGGGTTATTAGTTTTTTGTCTGGGCTCCAGTGGTGTAGTTCAGGGTAAACAGAGTAAGCTCTCTTACTTCTCAGTCTCCATAGGGTAAACCTACTTCCCCCTCTGATTTACAACGCTGCCATTTTTTAGGGCAAAGGGATGTCCCACCCTACTCTTTCTCTAATTGGTTGTACGCATTGTTGCATTTGTTGGTTGGGTAAGAATATCAAGGTGAACTAATCAGAAGCAGAGCCATGGCCATCCTTTCCAGATAGATGGGACAGCTGCTGGCGGTGTCACTTTCCATCAGCTTTTCTCCCTCGTTATGGGATAAGGATCCATCCGAAGATTATTGTAAAACACTGTTTAGGAAGTAAACCTTGTAGGGTACTGATTTGTTTAAAAAAAAAAATCAAAATTCAAGACAACAAGTGACCAGCTGAGGTGGTTGGCTTGACTCATACTAGTTAACAGAGGTTTTTATCCTCTTATGGATGTGCCATTTTATTTCTTCAGGCACCATTACATCCATGCTGGGTTCCATCATATTTTTTGTTAATTATTTGGATGTTCAAGTACAGGCACAAACCTCATCAAATAATATGGGTTCTCTGAGTCCTTGCTTTATGATTGTTGAAAATGAGTAACCATCTGATGTACTGTAGTTATTAAGAAGCCAACAAAATAAAAACGATGACCTCAATGTCACAGAGGGGGTAGGGTGGGGGGATTGTCTCTCTGTAGTGTTTTCAGTATCACAGATGGTTTGGTGTTAATACAATCAGTGCAGCATGACCTAAGGTTTTTTTACTTGACCTTCAAGGGGGGGGGGGGGGGGGGCTAATATAATGGTAGGGGAAACGCTGACAATGGTTAAATGTTGGACAACACCATGCTAACGTTGAAATATTATGTTAACACTTCTCAACCTTGGACTTGCAACTGCAACTTCTTACTGAACTATGTGATCAGTCATCAGCAGGCTGTATAGGCAGGCAAAACAAAACCCTTGCACCAGCATTGACACCCAATACCTGTATACCTTTGTCCAATCCTCAGCTTGTAAATGTGTATCGGTTTTTGCTTGTAAGGCATTAGAGGATAAGCAACCTTTTTTCTTTAAAGCAGAAGAACACATATTACAATGTTTGTGAACCCCCCTTTTGCCCTCCTCTCCTCTCAAGCAAATGTAATATGCAATGTGAACTGTCACAGCTGATACATGTTTTGGTGAGCCACAAGCTTTTAACAGCGAAACATTTCTATTTTATTTTTTTCACAAGATTTCTTTTTGACCTTTGATAGGACAGCTGAAGAGAGACAGGACATGTTGGGAAGAGATAGTGGACGATGTTGTGCACCAAATGGTTGCGGATTGGGAGTTGAAACAACAACCAGTGTGATGAGTGCTAAGTAAACACCAGGGCCGCTGAAAAAAAACCTTCTTCAAACATTCTCTGTCTGCTTTTTGTTTCCAGAGACCATGACGACCGCCACGTCCCCCATCCTGTTGAAATGGGACCCTAAGAGTCTGGAAATCCGCACCCTGACTGTGGAGAGGCTTTTGGAGCCGCTGGTCACACAGGTAGGGAAGTTAAATCTGCAAAGTTTGAAACCCAATTGCAGCCTATTGTCCTTCTCAAACTCTGGTTGACGTTGAACACAAGATGAGACGTTTTATTTGCTGGTTCTGTGATGGTGATGTTTGCAAGCAGTTTTGTTTGTAAGTCCATTAAAGTCTTTTGGAATCGATGATGATGAACTAATAAACACAAGACACTTAGGGTTAAAACGAAAAGCCAAAGACCTTTTAGTTTTCATTTGAATTATGTCATACAATATGCATACATAGTAAAAGTATAATGCAAACTGGATGACTAAATATTAATTTTAAATATAGGTAAAATAAAGCACCTATATTCTGAAAATTAAAACGTGTTTCTGTTACTGTATTTTCATTTTAAAATTAGCTTTTTCATTTGAATTATGATACAAATTTAGCGGGGCATTTAAAAAAAATGATAAAGCAAATGTAATTTTCTTCCTCATTTTAATTTAGTCAAAGAATGTGCATTTTTGAAGTTGAAAACTAAAATTCAAATTAGATAAATTAATCATCATTTTATTTTTTAGTCAAATAATACACCCATATTCTGAAAATTAAAAAGCATTTCTGTTAATGCATTTGAATTTTCAAATTAGCTTTATCATTTGAATTCTGATCATTATCGCTTCCATAGCTTAAAGCCCCCTGTGGGGACTTTTTCAAAGAGACAGACTGAAAAGAATACTAATGCCTCAATATTCACTGCAGAAGCATACAAGACGGTCAGAGAGAAGATCGATTATTCCTATGTAGTTATTTTCAATGCTTGTTATTGATACTGACACAGGTAGGTGTCAGACAAGGCCATAAATAGTATGCTGTAGAAACAGCCTTTGTTTGCAATTTTCTTTTAAACTTTAAATCATATTGAGTGATATATTGAGTAATTTAAACAAACCTCATTCTTTTAAAGAGCCACTGAGCCTGAAGGGTGAATTAGGAACTATTTGGACAGATACTGGGATATTTATGGCCGATCAGATGAATTCTTTCCCGGCCTTCTTTTTGGTTTATCCATGAAAGCACCACATAGTGGTGTACAGTGTCCTTAACACCAGCAAATAAAGGGTCTAATGCAGTGATACAATAAAATATACAAATTAACATCAATTGTGACTCCAACAAATGGTACATTTAAAAAATAAATATATATATATATATATATATATATATATATACGACATACACAGTGTACAGGAAAAGCAAAGAAATAAAGTCTTAGTGTGCAGTGTGAAGTACTGCATACCTCATTTGATAGTAGTATGTAGTAGCCCCTCCTCCGCTTCTGATGTTCTTTGGTTTGCTTCTATGTGCTTTTCTTTTTGAACATTTTTAATCAAACTCTTATTTGCTCTCTGGTGTTATGATGACGTTCAACACATCTGTGAACTCTTTTCATACATAAGCTTTTGGTAGATCTGTAAGTCTGACGCTATATTCTTCATCACAGTTGATGTTTTCACTGCACTATAACCACTATTACTATATTTCTTTAGAAGGCTTATTTTTCTTTTTTACCCTAAATTCAATTGAATTCTGTTTGGCTGATGATGAGACTTTCTGCTGAAGGAAGATTCAGACAGAAAATACCCTGAGGTTCACGCTGCATTTTCCCTTCTGTTTCCTTGATTCCGTTCGTTCTTTGTGAAGCAACAGAAGTATTTTGCTACGCATTCACGGTAGAGCCTCGCACAGCTTTCATATTTCAACCCTAAACCAAACCTGGATTCATACTCCTTTTATTCCAAAGACATCTTGACATGTCACAGCAGGAAACACACAGGTGTAAAAAATTCAATTTCAGCTTCCGAGTCCTGCTATTGTGCAGGGTGGCAGACTGTCACTGTCTTGGATTTATGTGACCGTTGAATCAACAGAGCCATTATAATACCACAAACAACTCCTGACATATATACAAGGCTATGCATGTGTGCAAACCTGACTAGACAGAACTGACAAGACTCTTTTTTTTAACACACTCTCATACAAGGGCTTTCATGGTAATGGTACAATTTGCCACTGTAACTTTTTCTAGTTTTTTCCAGACATCCCACTACAGATGCACTTATTCACACTAGTGGCATTTAAGCACAGACATTCAGGCATGACTTTACTTTTTCCAGAAAGAAATCCTTGGCAGCTCTCCTATTTCTCTCAGAAGGCTTAATAATGCTGCTTCATTGCAGGTAATGGCTGACCCACTGGCAGTGGTGGATATTAGATTTGGAAAGGCTAGATTTACTCACCGACCAGGACTCAGATACCAGCTTTGTTTACTCTTTGGTCCCCCCAGAGAATGTTTAAGTATTGATTGTAGACTTGTTGCCAGCTTCACTTCTAACAGCAGCAATACACAGAGCTTTTACCTCCTATTGTCAACTTTGTATGTGTGCTTACTGTTGGAAACAAGGGATTATAATGTGGGCTGAGTGTAGCTTGACTTGCACACAAAAAAACATCTTACACCCACTTGTTTTCAAAATCATGCGATGTAGGATGACATCATTGTTTTGAGAGTGGAAGTCCATTGAAGTGCACATCTCTTAACAAAAAAATAATGCATTCTTCACCAAAATGAAGTCATAGATGAATGCTTCCAAAGATTTGTATTATTAATTGCAAGAAAATACAGTCCGTAGTTGAGCAGCCTCAAGATACTTCAGGGAACAAAATGAACAAAGCTATAGTGCAGTTAAATGAATGAATGTTCTTGGCTCAACAAAAAAAATGGCTACAAAAAAATAATCAGGAATAGCAAACAGAAAAGCTTATCTTCTTTAACAGACCATTACCCAGTTTAAGAAGATGATATCATCTGGAATCAGTGTTCCGTTCTGGGGTCATACGGCTTCGATTGATATGATAGCTCATCAGTGTTAAACTTCAACTTGAGTCATAAAGCGTTTTGATTCATATCAAGTCTTGTGACCTTAATATACATGAAATGACTACAGTTTGAGACGCTGTCAGGTTTAGATCATGTAACCCGAGTGAGAGCTTCTTATTGAATTTCCTCCTTGTCTTTTTTTGGCGACAGGACTTTTGGAATCATGTCTCCTCACGGTGTTTATACAAGTATTAAATGAGCAAAGATAACCACAGAAGAGGCTCTGAAGCTTTTTGAATAGGATCTGTGTAAGCAGGCATCAATTCTTTAATCCACTGAAACAGCACAGTCCGTAGCAGTGTGTAGTACTGCATCATTTTTACTGAGCAAATGCTTAACATGCTTCAGTGCCAGTCTTGATCATCATTGCTTGAGACCTACACGACTTGCTTGCTTGTGTTTTACAAGTTTGCTTCCTCCTGAAGTACAGCTAGCTTTATAAAAACAAATAAATCCTAGTTGGGGAAGAAAATACATATTTGAGCATATATTCTCTTTCCTGAGTATTAAATGATTTCAACCAAACATCCCCAACCTTTTCTTTATTCTTCTCCTTTGTAACTTTCTGGAGTTTTTCACTTTAATTTGTTTACGAGAAAACTTTCAGTCAATCTGTATTTGCTTGGAAACGAATCCAAACATGCATTCTGGGGTTTGAAAAGTGTAGCACTTTCTGTGACAAATGAAATATGCTTAATATGTAAGCAGACTTAAAGTAAGACAAATGCTGAAAGTCTTGATATAAAACCAGGCTTTTCCAATCAGACATGCATTGTGTGCAGTCTGTCATCCTCATCCTGGGATTGCTCTCATAAGTTGTCATCAAAGTGACAGCTAGGTAATTGCTTAATGGTAGAAGACTGATGAGCTTCCTCTCTTAACACATAGTGATCATCATTAATCCTTTTAATAGCTATGCCTGACAGCTTTCACAGAAAAGTATGTGTCTGCCTATACCAAGAAGCTTTTATTTTGAAAATGACGTGTTATACCCGTGACATCTTAATACCCTTTATTGAAATCAATGTTGCTGTATTCTTATCAAAGTTGAGAAATCTTAATTTCTACTGTGTGAATTCCCACCAAAATGTTTATCTTTTCCACCAAAAAACATGATATTTTTTTGTTAGACAGGTAAATCATCCCCCAGTTATAGTTGAGTTCAAGGAGCAGTTGCTTGGCAGTGAGATTGAATTTGAAAATGTTGTCTTCCTCTCATTACTTTTCCCTAAACTAGCCTGTTATTGGTCTCAGAATGTATCGATATTACAGTTAACAGTGATTCATCATCTTCTCTACTGCCTGTTACAGCCAAATGCTGCAGAAACAAATGATATTGCGGCAAAATGCATTCGCTGCACACCTATGGGAATAAGCAAAAAACGCAAACAATGGTTTGTCATCTTTCCAGCAATTGCCTCGGAAGTGAGGAGCATTTTTAGATGTGAACAAGACACTGTGATTGTTTTTCCTGTCAATTTGGGTGATTCAGTGTTTTTGGATGGAATAAAGGCCTGCCTCAGGAGGATAGACAAACAGGCTCACCCTGACATTGCTGGAGATAGCAGGCTCATTTATCATGACCAAGTCTCTCTCAGCCTTGCTACAGTAAACTGGGTATAAGTCCATAGCTAATAATACTGAAGGGCTGACTTTATCACTGCGTGCATGAAGGCAGCAAGGTTCTGATATATGAAACATTTTTACACTGCAGGCAATGGCAATATTTTTGGAGGGAATTTTAGGGAAGTAGCATTGAGAGTCAAGTGCTGCTGGTATGAAAACATTGTAAAGAAGTAAGAAACACACAAACAAGCTGGACTTAAAGCCTTTAATGGGCAAAGTGGGAAGGTTTGGTATAGCCATATGAAATTGCTTGACTTTGGGCACACTTTAAATTCAAACTGGCTGTTTAAGTCTTCTCATCATTATATTTATTTCGAAGACAGGAATAATACACAATAGGGCTGGCAGCAAGAAGGCATTTCAGTATAACCCTACATCAAAAAGCAACAACCGACACTGTCACTAAATTTAAAAACACATAAGCATGGGGATAAGACAAAAGTTGCTCATTGGAAGCCTTCAGTAA